CTAGCAGTGAAATCCAGGATGCGTGTTTCGCCCTATTTGGGACTTGCCAGCTGGATATACCTGCATCCCAGAGTTGATGTTCACTCCGGAACTCGAACTCAGGATACACATATGCCAAGAATAGATTGATTAATTGCAGTCCTAAACAACAATGGGAAGATACAGGCAAACGATACCAACGGATTTAAATCTGAATAAGTGTTTCAACATTTTTGCCTGTCAAACGTTCATCTGGGTCTGATTTTCAGTCTGTCAGTCAGTAACAACTTAGTACACACGTACATCAGTTCGAGTTGCCATACCACATTGACAGAGAGACACAATTGTCGATTAAAATTCCATAGTGGTAGGGTAGAGGTAGTAAAAGTATAAGCAGTAATCGGAAACATTAGACTTTGAAGATGTTATTCAGGGAGTATAATCCAGTGAAATGAATTTGGAAAGAGAAAAAAATAAAGGGACATGAAGAATTCAGAAGATTAGTATTTGGACGAACAAAAAGAGTGGATGCACCTGTGTCATTGCAAACGACTTTGAGCCATGTCATTCAAGGTCTCTAACCATCGGTTACTATCATCTCACGGATCCCAAGTAGATAGTCTACACCTACCAACATGGCTCAGTCTATTTGTCAGTAACTTGATGGATTTGTGCCATGTTTTGGTCTGGGCACCCCTAGATTTCTTCCAATCTACTCCTATACAACAAAACATTGCACATCGAGGCAGTCGGTGATTGGGCATACGTAACACTTGTCCCAGCCATCTCAACTGATGAAGTTTCAGTACGTCATCAATTGATTTGCCATCCTTACCTAGTACCCGTTTCCTAACAACTGCGTTACTTACTCGATAGTCCCAGGATATACGGACAATATTTCGAAGACACCTATGATCGAGTACTAGTAACCTAAACATATCCCCTGCTCTTACCGGCCATTTTTCACTGCCATAAAGTAGGACGGAACGAACTGCTGCGCAGAAAACACGTCCTTTGGTTGATAGACGGATATCTCGCCTACGTCATAAATGATGCAAGTTGGCAAAAGCTAATCGAGCCTTTTGTATCCGTGCTGAGATTTCGTCACACACTAAACCACAAGGGCTGATGAGACTTACAAGATAAGTGAAGCGGTCGACACGCTCAACTACTTCACTCCCTATCCTTAGTTCAGGTGTCGATGCAACCCAATCCTGAAGCAACATTTTGCATTTCGAGGGGGAGAATCGCATCCCGAACATGCTTGCATTGTTGCTTAGAGTGGTCAGAAGACTCTCCATTTTGTCATCGGCATATTCTAGGTCAACAAGTGAACCTCCCGGTAGAAGTTTAACTCCTGTAAATTTAGATGAGGAGAGTGTTATCTCTAAAAGTACGTCGACCACAAAGTTGAAGAAGAATGGGGAGAGTGGACAGCCCTAACGAACACCACTTGAGGTAATCAATTCTGATGACAGTTCGCCATAAGCTCTCACTCTACCAGTTGTGTTCGAGTAGAGAGCCTGTATAAGGTTAATGTACTTCTTTGGTACTCCTTTCGGTGACAAACACTGCCATAGAACCTTATGATCAACAGAGTCAAATGCCGCCTTAAGGTCGAGAAATACTACCATTGTGGAGCGTCTGAACGTGTGTCTGTGTTCTAGAACCTGACGTAGTGTGAATATCAAATCTATACAACCACGTCCAGGTCGAAAAGCAGCCTGAATTACTCTAGTCTGCTCTTCACGAGCTTTGGCTAGGCGTCGAAGTATTATTGAAGCTAATATTTTGGACACTATATTAGTCAAACTGATTCCTCTGTGATTGTCGCAAGAGGACTTTTGTCCTTTCTTAAAAACTGGCACAATCAGTGATTGAGACCAGTCAGATGGGATTACGTCCAGTTCCCAAATCCTACAAAAGACCTCTGTTAATCTCACTGCTAATACTGGACCACCATCCTTAAAAGTCTCAGGAGTAAATCTGTCAGGGCCTGCTGCTATCCTTCGCTTCAGATTTCCTATGGCTTTTTCAACTTCGTAAAGAGTCGGAGGACCTACATCAACTTGCCATTCAGGTTGACTGGAGATCGTGGGAAACCGAAGTGTGGCTGAATGCTAGTTGAACTGATCCCTAAAGTGTTCTGCCCATCGATCCAATCTCCTGGATTGAGAATGTATAATATGTCCATCTTTTTCTGAGATAGTTTCGCTAAAAGTTGAGTTCCTAGTACCGGTTCCCTTACCAAGGCTGAACAATTGTCTGTTGTTGCCTATTGCCGCTGCGTTTTCCATCTTTCTTGCTTTCGCTACCCACTACTGTTCGCGATCATTGAGTAGACTTCTTGTCAGCTTGCGCTTAAGCTGACTCCGCTCTTCATCATGTTCAGATCCAGATGAAATGAGTTTTCGAGCATCTATCAGTGCGGTAGATGCTGCAGAGATCCAGTATTTCTCCCTAAGCTTATGGTTTACCTTACTAGCAGATATCACTGCTGTTTCCACAGCTTTTTGGATATAATTCCAAGCTGCTTCGGGTTGGAAATAACTTGCGTGACTGTTTAACTGTTTTCCTAGTTGTTCCTGAAATATACTCTTAGCTTGACTATCATTAGGTAGGGCTCTAAGAGGTTTCCTTGCATCGTCTTTCCTACGTCCAGTAAGACACAGACATATACGCGCTCGCACTAGAGCATGATCTGAGTCTAAACATGTGCTCCAGAATGAGCGACAGTCTTCTATCGAGCCCCTCCACCTGTGGCTGATGGCGGTATGATCTAGTTGGGATGAATTAGGGGGTCACCATGTCAAAAGATGTTTTTCCTTATGCTTAAAGTTAGTATTTTCTAGAAACAGGCGATTATCTGAGCATAGCTGCAACAGACGGTCGCTATTATCTGTTCTTTGAGCCATGACACCATAAGATCCACCTAGGTGCCTTTCCTTCTCGTTTTTTTGAGCATGGAAGTCATCAGCCACTATTACTACATCAGAGCGCCTAGCTTCCTGGAGAAGGTCGGAAATGTTTCTGTAAAACTCGTCTTTTACATCATCTGGGTTGCAGTCAGTGGGAGAGTAGGCAGAGACGACGAAGAGACAACGACAAGTGTCCCTATCTTTCCGAGTTATTACTGTTCCGTTCAGCGCACAAGCGACTGTTTACTGGGATCCAGTCTACGAGAGCTAGTTCTGCCCCAGGAGTTTTTAATGTGTTAGCTTCGTTCTTCAAAGGGCCATACCGCCGGAGACGGAGATCCGTGAAGTAAGGTGAGGTGTGAAACTTTTAGAGTCGACCTTTTCTAACCTCACCACTCATTGTGTGAAGGTAGCATCGCTGCAGATGCTGGTTGTCTGAGGGAAACGCCTTACTGCTGTCACACCTATCTGCATTCAGCAGTACGACTTCACCCTCAGACCTTGAGTTGCTGCTTTTAGTTTAACCGTTCTCCAGTCGACCTGCCTGGCATAGTAGAACCTACAGGAACATATGTTCCAGTCAATATAGCTTGGTTTTGCCATCACAATAGGCAAGCCCGACCACCATGTCAAGGTAGCAGCTATGGTTGGAAGTCTGGTTTTAAGTGGAATAAATAATAATCTGAATTATATATACACTTAATGATTCTTATGTTCATAATGATAAAACGTGCATGAGGTTCACTGAATATGTCTCACCTGTTCATGTAAATAATATTAAATAAAACATAGTCATTTGACTTTAATAAGTCTCTCCAGAGAGCACAAAGTACCATGTTTTGCGGGAATACATTTAAGAACACTACCAAGTACAACTTATTAACCTGAAATAAAGGCGTTTTTTTTCGCCCTTATCTGAAATTATGACCATAATGGGGTTTGTGGAGATTTTAGTAATTTTAATGGTTGAATTTATGAGTCGATGTAAGCTAGATCACCATGGAAAGCTTGGAAGCAGTGGACAGCCGTTTCGTCATAGTATGGGACTCTTCAGCGGTGTGTGTCAACGATCCCGCACGCATGACTCGAACCTATGACCCTCAGTCTCGCATGCAAACGACTAACCTCTAAACTACTGACCCGGCGTGCTGCAAGGGAGTCCCATACTAGGACGAAACGGCCATTCAGCGCACATCGACTCATAAATTCAACTATTAAAATGATTACAATCTCCACAAACCTCATTACGATAATAATCATCATGTGCATAATATGAACTGGGACACAGATGATTTCCTGGAATTCTAATGAAAAGCCGTGACCAGTGGAGTACAATCCGTGTTAAGTAGAGACAGGTATCTATCTCAGACAATAGATTAATGGTTGCACAGGTATTCATGAATCGATGTAAGTATAGATACTAACATTGTTGGATGCCAGTTCAGTAATTCAGCAGGTTAAGCATTCGCCCGCAAGATTAAAAGGCCCTGGGTTTGAATTCCGCATATGGGATCGTGGATAAGCACTGCTAAGGAGTCCCACAGGAGGACCAAACGGCCATCCAGTACTTCTAGGTTTCCAATGATGGTCTAACATCAATCGGTTCATGATCTCAATTAAAATATTTATCTGAAAAATGAAGTGAGTATATATGATTTACTTGTTACTTTTTGATTTAAGATAATTCATCAGCTGATTTCAATTGATGAAAGATACTACTCGTTTAATTTACTTGCAAACTTACGATAGTTTTTCTTCCCCCTATCGATCATGATCCCACCCACCTTTTAATTATAAACAATAAATAAGAATAAGTTTTGATAAAGATACATATATGTGTAGGACAGACATATCTAATGAGAAAAAACACACACACACTCATCATATGAATGTCTATCCTACATAAATTCATGGATAGTCTACCTTTATTATGGAATTTTTTACGCATTGTCACATGTGTGTTGCCCACTAAATTTTTTTTCTTTTAAAAACTGATTTATGATTGGTTAATTATTGGGCGATTTGACCTTGTAATGATTAGTATTAGATATAATACATATATCTTAAGTAATGGAGTTACTATGTCTCTGAGTCTTTAGAATTTTTTTATTATCTTTTAATTGTTACTATTCGACATTGTACATTAAAAAGAGAAAAAAAAGAAATTTAGTTGCTATGAGCAATAAAAGAATTAAACGATCTATACCAATATGGTCAACATGTTTTTGTATTGATATTCATCGTTGTGGATTATTTAAACAAACCAATCGAAAATTAGCTTATTTCATACAAAAAGGTAATCTTCCAGCAATTGAACATATATTAAAACGTATAAAACAACCATTAAATAATTTAACGATAATTGTGAAACGACATCAATTCAATACATTCTATCCATATTTAATGAATCATCATCATCATCATCATCATAATCAGTATTTTTATCAAGAATGTTCACCAGTTCTATGGGCTATAGATTGTTTACAATGGAATGTTTTACCATTATTATCCTATTATGGTATCGATATCAATCGTCCACAATTATGTCGTCGTTGGACAGATTGTATATGTAAAAAGAATTCACGATCAAACAATAATAATAATAATAATATATTACCATATCGGAAATTTTGGACACATGGCCATTATACATATCAATCTGCATTAGATTATTTCTTTGCTAGTATTTATGAATATATAAATGATAATTATTTAAATGATATTAATCTATTAACATTTTATAATATACATTTAACAAATCTATTAACAAAAGGTATTGATATACATCGTATTAATTCAGTAATTATATTTAATTTATTAGCAATTAGTTTTAATCAATATTTATATCAATCTATCACATCTATAAATAATCATTTAATATTAACAAAAATTAATAATCAATCATTTATTGAATTATTGATTATTAAAAAACTTATTAAAAATGGTTATTCACAATTTGAATGTATGGATTATTTATATTCCTATTGTAATTGGTTTAGTATATTATTATGTATATTATGTCATCCGAATATTGATCTATATCATAATAATAATAATAATAATAATAATAATAATAATAATAATAATAATAATAATAATAATAATGGTAATAATATTAGTAATAATAGTAATAATAATAATGGTAATAACAATAGTAATAATAATAATGATAATAGTAATAATAACCGTAGTAATAATAACAGTAATAATAATAGTGATAGTGATAGTAATAGTAATAATAGTAATAGTAATGATAATAATAATGGTAATAATAGTAGTAATGGTAATAATAATAATAAGATGCCAAAAGTGATAAAACAATCAATATTATTATTGATTAATTTACTTGTATTAAAATGTACTATTCCAACTATAGAAGAGTTTTCGGAATTCATTGAAAATTTACCATTATGTAAATTATATATTAAATATAATAATAATAATAATAAATATAATGAATTTTATAAACGTTTAATTCAATTACATCAATTATGTAATCAGTTAATGAATAAACCATTTAGTTTAAAATTAATAACAAGAAATCAAATAAGAAAACAAATTGGTAGTATTGATTTTCATAGAAAAATCAATAATATTGATTTACCTAAACAATTAATTACCTTTATACAATATATTAATTATGAACAATTTGTAATTATGAATGATATACCAAAACAATTCATTCAATTCATACAAAGTGAATGGATCGATATGAATTCAACTATAGGTTGTAATGATAATACATTGAAAGAATCTATGAATATATTCAATCAATCGAATGATTTAGAACAGATCAATAATAATGATAATAATCATGATAACGAAGAACAATTACCTATGAATAATAATAATAATAATAGTTTACAACGTGGTAGAGCCTCAGAACGTCAACATATTCATATGTATCAAAGAAGAATAAATAAACATAAACAACCATTAAGACCTACATCTGCTCCATTACTTAGAACATTTGTTAGATAAGAAAGAGAAAAAAATTATCTTTTTTTTTATTGACTTGGAAACTATATTTATCTCAGGGATTATAACAACCACAACCACCACTACAACCACAACAACGAAAAAAATAAATAATGAAATACTGATTCTTCAATGATTTTTATTTATTTAATTTTCTTGTTACCTTCTCTCCCCCCCTTATTTATTTGTTTATGATAAAAGACATAAAATTATTGTTTTGTTAAATTATTCAATTGATTATTAATCAAATTAAGTGTAAAGAATGTTCTAATGTTACTATATTATTATTATTTGTTGTTCTCCTTATCATTGGTGATGGTGGTGTTGTGTTGTTATTTTGTTCGAATGATTCTTTTCTTATTTCTATTGGTTGTATATTGATTTTTTGATATTTTTAATACCACATATTAAACCTAGAATACAATTGATGAACATTCCGATTATGCTTAGACTTTGTAAATTATTAATTAGTTCAATACTTATTTATATTGTTAATGTGATACATAAATAATACCATAGTCAAGAGGGGGGGGAGAGGATTGTTTTTATTATTACATCATTATGTTTGTTCGTTTGTTTTTTTTTTGAGAAAGAAAACATTTTTTTTATACAGAAATTCTTTAATAACCTTAAGTACAATCTTTGACAAGATCAATATGTATGTTAATCGTTTGTTTATTTTATGATCAATTTTATCAACGATCAAAACTTATCTTCAATGATCACTTACTTACTTACGAGGACGTCAAGGAGCATAGGCCGCTCACTAGCATTTTCCATCTAACCTTATATTGGGCTTCAATAATCAACTCAATGATTATTGATTTTAAAATCATTCAATATTTGATTGTTTATTGTTTGTATTTTGTTTTTCCTATAAATATTTGTTTGTTTACTTGTTACTATGTATGTATGTATGTTTATGTTGATCACTTGTAAATATGAATATCGATTTAGATATAGAAGATTTATGATAATTAAAAAAAATTTTTTTTAGAAATTGTCTATTATTTATTGATTGATTGATTTTAGAGGATAAAATTTCGAAATAAATAAATAAACAAACTCGCTATATGACCATTGCCTTTTACTTTCTTTCATTCCTCTCTCTATATATATAGAAGTGAATTTGTTTATTCAATTGTATTGTATCCTAGTCACATTCATATTCTGATTGAATAATGTATGATTTATACAAGCAATATCATACAGATAATTGATAGGTTATCCAAGTGTTGATCCGATTTGATCGATGTTATATTCCAGGCTGTTATAGAAATTAGACATTGGTCAATGAACTGTAATTTATCAAACTAAGTTATTCAGTTACCTATTCTCATGGTTTACAGCATATTTGGCGAGACTCTAATTTATGGACGACCTTTGAATGAGTCTTAAGTGAACTTGAGGAATATTAGCCAGCCGGCAAACAGTCAGTATAGAGTGAAAATATATAATACAAAACCAAGGAAGTAAAGTGAATACACTTCTCATACGTGGTTCAAAAACTTGTCAAGGTTAGAAAGAGGTTTAGAGGTTCTATAACCGTAATGCATGCAGTAGAGGAAATCACCCATACGACTACAGAATAGTCGGCCTCTAGAGCCATGATAAAACGTCAAAAACTCTTTCAGCCTCGACCACATATTTTCAACATTGTTTGTGTGCACTCCGATTGTTGAGTGTACAAAATGCTACTTGTGGATAACGACACGATCTACAAAACCAAGCCTATGTAGGAGTCTGTGCACTCTCTAATGCTCCGCATATATTGTAGTACCTGGCTGCAACCAGTGTTACTGGTGCTTTTATTATCCAATTCGCAATAATTGTCAAAATTTGCCTTAGTTAGGAATTATATATGCGGTTTTCATCACGAACTGACATCAGCTATAATGCCAGAAATCTATTTCGCCAAATGGATGAAAGGCTTTCGCGTTAAAATGCGAGATCTATTATCTTATACCTGACTGATTCGTCCACAAATTATAGTCTCGCCGTTTTATTTGTTATGGCCCCTCAATTACCACGTTTTGTAGAAAATTCCCAATGAACCGATCGTATGTTAGCATTAAACACGGAAGTTGGCGCCGTAACCTTGAAATATATAAAACGCCTCTGATTGGCTCACCCATAAATTAGAGTCTCGGCGCATATTTCTTGTAAATGCAACCTATAATTTATAAGCAAAGATGGATAGTGGCTGTTAGTAGAATCAAGTTTGACGAGCGTTTCGTCCTATTTACGACTCGTCAGCTGGATGTACCTGCATTTCAGAGATGTTCACTCTGGGACTCGGACCCATTACCGATTACTTCAAATAGGACGAAATTCGCATCCTGAATTCCATTGCTAACCATTATCCATCTTTGCTTATGATGTTTGTGAATTAAGACAATACGCACAGGATGCACATATGCCAATAAGCGACTGATCAGTCCTTAACAATAATGGGAATATTTAAGTAAACAATACCAAGTGAATTCAACCTATAATTTGTTTAAAGAATTAATGACTAATCTGTACTGCATAAAAGATAGATAAAGATACTCCTAGGTAAATTAATTATCCGGTATACAATAGTCTATGCTACTTTGATATTATATCATCCGTTGAGAATATAATGATGTGGGACGGTCATTTAGTTATTTCATTGTTCTCTAGATGTTTTAAGTATTCCCTGATGAAATTTAAGTATTTGTGTATACTTTTGGATAGATTTAAAAGTAGGTAAATAATAGATAATGAGTAAAAATCATTTCGAAGAAACGTTCCTGTCGGATAAGCTGTACACTGCTAAATTGTAAAAAGTAAATCAGTCAGTCTCCTTTATAATAAACTGACTGAATGGCTCTAAATAAGCAGACTAATCTTTTAATTGGATCAGAAAATGATAAAACAATTTAAATCCATCCTAATTTCTTTTGACTTGTAGTGATTATTAGACAAATAGAAGGTGAATATTTCTGAAAATTCCAGAGGTTTGTGCTGATGATGTCGTTCAGAAGAACGGTGAAAGCTCCACGACCAAACCATCCAGCTCAGAGAAAAAAACTCCATCAAAATTATCCACCTGAGCTACAAATCTTCTCCACCATGTCTAACATACTCTCACCACCTGATTGATATTGACCGTATTATTACTGTAACATACAAATGCTAGGAGAACTCAAAGTGAACTTCAGAAATCATTTAATTTGATCAATCAACGTTCTTCAGGAACTTTGCAGATAATTCTAAAACTCAAAATAAATATTTTCATTGTTCCGATTGGACAGTGACCGAATTTCTTATCAATTTTAACATGATTACCAGAGACATCTTGAATCTCAAGATCACAATGTTATATCCGAATGAAGAATAAATGAACAAGAACTGCTAAGAATTATTTATGGACTCTTATTACATATATTCTTATTGGACAATTATTAAGTAACTGGATTGAACATACATTCATATTCCTTTTATCATAAGTTTTCATGCGGCTTGTTATTTTATTTATTATATTTATTATTATTAGCTTTATTCAATATTATAATTTTGGTACAATATAGAATTCTCAGCTCAAAGTATTTCAACAAGTTTCCGTTTCTTTCTTCTTGGTCGGTCCTGGCGATAAATATTGAGGAAACGCCAGTTAGATGTTAGTACTTCAGTGAATGAACAACTGAATAATGTGCATTCTTTTCGTTGTACATTGCCAGCAACCATATTGTCTCTTATTGAGTTTTCTGTAACTTTGACAACGAAAGGTTGTACACTTTTCAGAAAGGCAGCAGAATAGGTTATGCGATTAATAAACATAATGATATATTAAAACAAACAACAATAGATAACTTGTTGAAATATCTAGATGGCAGGAATAGGTAGCCCAGATGCTCAAGCAGGCCGCCTTCATGAAATACATCATTCTTAATGTATTCCCAGTTTGTTAGTGATAGTATCCAACACTCACAACCACTTTTGACCTGATCTTGTACAGTTACTATTGTTCATTTTATGGTGCGATGCGGCCTGGTTTGCTTGTGTATTAACTAAGTGTATCTGAAATATACGATCCGTACAATGGAGGTTGATATTAATGTTCTGAACTGAACCGGGCTGGGTTAAGCAAGAAGCTAATATACAGAGGACCAATAAGGATTCAGAGTAGACTCAAGGCTGGTCGTGTGCAGAGAAAAGTTCATATAAGTCGGTGTCCTGATTGGCGATTTTGTCACGTGATAGTTGACAGAGCCTTTAGACATAACATACAAACTATCTTTCTTAATAATATTATAAGCTAACTGAAATCCAGCAGCGTGTCATGGTGGAACTAATGAAGATTAAGTTAATGTAAACAAATAGTATTTCCGTCTGTAGCCATGTATAGTTACTGTCGCTCCAACTCTGGATAGAGGAGGACTGTTGGTCATAGGAATAGCAACGTCATCCTGTAGAAAGAAACCTTAACTGAAAAACGTTAACGAGAAGAAACCATTTTAATTATATAAACTGTGCGCCGGGTGTTCAAGGGTTTTCATTTAGAAGAGCATTGATGTCCCATAAGGAGAGCCTAGATTCTCTACAATCCACTAGACTTATCCACCTTCACTTAACCAGAAAAACAATCATTATAGGTACAGTAGATGTCCAGATGCGGTGAGAAACTGCGAGGGCAATTAAAATAGCAGCGGAAGTGAGAAGATAAAACGTGGTTATCCTCGGAATCAGTGAAAATCTTTGGACACCATCTTGATAAAAAGACTAACTTTAGGAGGGCTATTACTTAATTTTGGCTATGGAGAAGAGAATGTTTCATACACAAGGAGTTGGAGTGATTTTGTAAAAAGAATCACGAAAAGCTCTTATAGGATAGTAAACCTATGACTTCAGGATCATAAAAGAACCTAAAATTGCTTAGGTACATTGGTCGATTTCATGTTAGAGTCACCAATCAAAATTTTGATTACAATTTTTCCTACTCTAAACCTACATGACCAATAATTCGTCTGACCTGCACAGTTAACCTCGAGCCAATGCAAACTGAAATCCTTTTGATACACTATCCGCAAGCCTTTCTTTATTCCTCACACCTCTGTACAGCCAGCAGTACGACTTCGCCTTCGGACCTTGGGTTCGTTGCTTTTAGTCTAACCGCTCTTCAACCGACCTGTCTGACATGGTAGGATATTGAGTGACGATTGTTCCAGTCAGCATAGCTCGGTTGCTTCATCACGATAAGGCAAGCCCGACCACCACGTCAAGGTAGCAATAACGGTCATACATCATCTTGTTGTGTTAATGAGGTGTGGCAACTTGGACCGATGCATATATGTGCCTGGTCCTACGTTGTACCTGACTGATGAACTTATTCACACAATTGATAAATAATTAATCAGGTTATATGTGCTAATATTATATGAATATAGTACAGTTTAGCTTACAATTTCATCGCATAAACGAATGCATTAGCCTACATATAATATTCTCTCTAATTACCATAAATCTACAAGGTTATCAACTAACACAATGTTAGATTGTTGTAGATAAACATGTATGCACTGTTAACCAAAATCAATGACATTCTACTACTTCATTTAATTTTATAAACCCTCAACAGCTTACTGTAGGAAAGAGCAAACTAGCCTCCAGCTGAAGAGGAAATTAGGAAAAGACGATGGAAATGGATAGGGCATATGTTACAGAAATTATCAAAGTGAATCATGAGGCTAGCCTTAACTTGGAATCCTGAAGGGAAGCAGAGAAGAGGAAGGCTAAAGAACAAATTACATCGGGAAATAGAAGCAGATATGAAAAGGATGACTAACAACTGTAAAGACAGGGTTGGATAGAGCGTGCAGGTGAGCAGCTTATGCTCCACCACGAGGAGTAACAGGCGTAAGTAAGCAAATAAGTAACCTGCTACGGATATCAACACACTATAAAGCTAATCATTAATCGAAAATAGATTCCCTAAAGCTTTCTGTATATTAAATTCAAAAGGAATCAATGAGAAGTATAATATGACGCTAAATTCAGGAGATTAAAGAATATCAAAGCATCGGA